TGTTACCTGGCCATAAGCAATAATTCAATCTTACCATTTGTGACAGCATGGATGGACCTGGAGAATATTATGGTAAGTGAAATAAGTCAGTCAGAGAAAGACAAATCCCATATGATTTCACTTAGATGTGGAATCTAAAGAACAAAATAAGTAAACAGGCAAAACAGTAATAAACTTATAGATACAGGGAATAGAATGCTGGTTGCCAGAAGGAAGAGGATTTGCAAGACTAGGAGAAAAAGGTTAAAGGATTAAGTACAAATTGGTAGTTACAAAATAGTCACAGGGATGTAAATTACAGCATAGGGGAAATAGCCAATAACATTGTAATAACTATGTATGTAGGGTGCTAGGTGGGTACTGGAAATATCAGGGGATCACTTTGTACAGTATATGATTGTCTAACCACTATATTGTATACCTGAAACTAATCTATACTAATAAAGGGGTAATATGCTAATTAGACTGGACATCCTACTGGACAAAGTCTCGGTGGTGGGGGCCAAGGCAGAGGTGGTTTAGGGCAATCAGGCCAGCAAGGGAGGGCAGTTAGGGGCAATCAGGCTGGCAGGCAGAGAGGTTAGGGATGATCAGGCAGGCAGGCAGGGGAGCAGTTAAGTGCCAGCGGTCCGGGATTGAGAAAGGGATATCCAACTGTCAGCTTAGGCCCGATTCCTGTGGGATTGGGCTTAAACTGGCAGTCGGACATCCCCTGAGGGGTCCCAAATTGGAGCAGGTACAGGCTGGGCTGAGGGACCCACCCCTGTGCACGAATTTTGTGCACAAGGCCTCTAGTACAATGTAATGTAAATTAATGTAAACTAATTGAAAAATAAATTAAAAACAAGAAGTCTGCTCAGGCAGCCTGCTAGAACTTTCTATGCCCTGAACCCTTCCCCACCAATTTTCCACTCCTCCAATCCTCTTTTCCATCCTTGACTTTTCACTGCTCCCACAGTTCATCCCCCCAAATTAAAGTGAGGTTCCTATGAAGCCCAACCTTGTACATCCTACCTGAAATGCCGCGTGTCTGGGATGGACCGGTTCAGGGGCAGCAGGTTACTGAGGTAAACATTGTAACCAAACTTCTGGAAGAGGTCCTGGGCCCTTTTCTGCTGGGCCTCAGAAAGATCCTCACCCCATTGCTTGAAAAGTGGTGAGTTTGGAAAGAGTTTCTCTCTGGGTCTGTGTTTCTTTGTCTCACTTGCCTTGGCTTCCACTGCCTTTTGAACAGGTTGTTCATCTCTCATCCTCTTCAGTGTTTTGTCCACATTTTCTTGTTGCTTCATAGCCAATTTCATACTTTCTTCTACAAATGAAGGGCAAGGGAGAAAACATTTCAGCGAATCCTTAGCTACCTGGGCACTGCTTTGCATTCAAATTTCACTACAATGTTTCCTCTCCAAATTCTGAAATTGACCAGCTCTTATCTCAGAGGATGCAATATGTCAAGGAACTTGTCAGAGCCATGCCAACCTGTCCTGGCGAGGTGTGCACTGGAACACACCTCTCCTTTCAGCTCCATCAGAATTTGTCTATCCTGAGTCCCAAGCCTTTACAGTTCCTCCAGTAACTGTTATCTGAGAAATATATTGACCATAGCGAACCTTTCTCAGAATAAGGCCTGAGAGAACAACTTACATCAGAATCATCTGTTGAATTATTTTAAAATGCAGATCTACAGGCTTATCCCCAAATCAACTAAGTCAGAATCTCAGGGTCAGACAGAGGT